GATCTCTGTGGTTACCTGTAGTTGTTCAGAGTGAACTCTGACGACACTGTATGCAATTGTACAATTTCAATAAAACAATTAATTTCTCCACAGTTCGCTGATTTGTGAATCATGCATTCACTGACAAATCAAATGACCCGTTTTTGCAGCTGTCTCAGTTCTGCAATCTAGGAAGAGAGAGGGGGAGATGGCAAACTCCACTGAAGTAGTTTCAATGTATGGAATCAATTGGGAGTTTCTGGATTTGAGGTAAACTTCTCATTAACAAACTGCTCCTCAAAGAGCACTATCAGTGGTCTGATGGTTTAAGCCAAATAGCCTAAGTCAATAAGAAAAAAGTATTACCGGGCACACTGCCCCGTTGGTGATGCCATCCTCGAAAGTCTCGTCGGGGGTTCATGGCACTTAGGCTCCCTGGTCCTCATGACGAGGTGGTTCTTGGCGTAGGTCAGCGCCAGGTGTTTAAACAGGTTGTCGTCCACATAGCGGCTTTAGTAGATGCAATGATAGATGCAGGCTGCCAGTAAAGCCCTAGGTTGCAGCATTTAGCATTTTCCGTAAGGGATGTCTGTGTATCGCATACATTTGAGCCCCTTCTCACCATCTGAATGAATTAAGTTATAAGAAATCTAAGCAAAACAAACACACAAGTCATGGTGTAGGCCTATGCAAATAGACCAGAGAAAGAAATACTTTTACTTCAGGATCCAATTAATGACAGCTTTAACCTCGGGAATATCCTCTTGCTGGATGTTGATTTTTGTCAAATTGGTCAGGAAAACTTATTTTGAGGTCCAGGTTCTGGCGTTGCAACTACCCCCGGTGTCGCCATTGTAGTCCCCCTCTTTGGACCTCTTGTACCCGTCTGGGTTCATACTGGGCATACTTGTAAAGTGTTCGTCACTAACTACATGATGAGTGGGTCCTCTCCTTACCTCGTCAGCAGGTACTCCACAAGGTACACTGCCTCGAGATAGTTTTGTCCCATGGAGATAGATAGAGGACTCATCTTTGTATCTGTGCCATTATAGCGCCTGTGACAACATGAGCAGCGCCATTGCATCTATCTCCTATTGGGGATTTATTATTCTCCTAAATTGATGGGATGACTAACTTAGAAAGAATGCATTCTTGACTGGGCTAATGTAGGCTGTGACACCTGGCAGGCTGTGATTGATGTGAAGAGCTGTTTTAGGGGGTAAAGGGAGATAGGGATTTGTATCTCCAGATGCTGGAATATACTGGTTCTTTGTGATCTGTGAGCCTTCCTTGGACATAGGAATGGTGTCTAAGGGAGCTGGCTCTTCTCACTATGACAGGGTGTTATGATATGGACATATGCCTGGTAACAGAGATGCATCAACGGATTGGCTGAGTAAGTTTAAACCACACTCAGTCCTTTACTCTAATTGGCCAGCAGAGAAGTGGGAAATTTTCTCTGTCAGAGTATTTGAGTATTGAATCTGCAACAATGTGTTAGTTCTCTGGGGTGCCCTGCGAGGTATCTCAGAGAGCCCGTATATACGAAACATCATATTTACCATTGAAGGTTTTTGCATTAATTAAAATAACTAGTATATCTTAGAAGTCGTGTTGACCTCTTTTGTTCCTAATACCAGATTTGAATTGACGCGACTTTGACACTCCATTTTAAAGTAGACTATTTTCTTCACGATCGTCTGATCCATCCTGATGACCCGGTTGGACATGACCCAGTTGACTACATTAAAATGGTGGAAGCCCTCAATTGCGCTGCCCATGCTGAAATAGCCTTTTGGCCACTAGAGGCCTCTATCATTCTCTATGTTCCATCCCCATGCTTGTCCTCGCGTATTTACTTTTGGGTTTTCCTGGTAGCCTACCACAGCGTTGGGTTCCATTTGTGATTCGCATAACCCACAAACCCCAGCCCTGCACGGACTAGTCAGGTTGGCGATGTGAGGGTATTTCAGGACCATGGACTTCAGTAGCCGGGTCATTTCCGCATAATTGTAGTATTTTTTTTATAGTCTTCTACCCAGTGTTGCCAATTTAGTGCTATATTTAGCGACTTTTCAGACCGCTCCAGTGACTTATATTGGTAAAAGAGACTAGTGGCAAATTACACTTACTTTGCAGGCTGGCTTTGGGGAGTTTTGCTACCGGGTTTTTATGGTTTTGATAGCATTTAACGACTTTTCCCACTCAATTCTGCCACAAACGAGAGTGGGAGAAGCTGTCTGTGCAACAGAAGTCACAGCAACGGCGCACACAGTCAAAGAAGCACAAGTGGAGGGGTTGTGCGGCTGGAGACGGGGCGAACACGTTACGTCATGGACCGCAGCATCAAGGCTGGTGTTGTGACATCGTCGTGGCAATGGCAAAATGAACATCTAGCGACAAAATCAAGGAGCCAATAGCGATTCTCACTGAAAAATAGTTGGCAACACTGAGTTCTACCTCCTCCTTCGCATCAATATGCCACGTTCATGTGCTAGTCGGATCTAGTGGTGCTTTCAAAACAACTAGGAACTCGGAAATAACCGAGGTTAGGCTAAATCATGACATCGGTGATCTTCAAGTCGGAAATTCTGAGCTCTGGAAAGACGCCCGAGTTTCCGATTTGGAATTCCGAGTTGGATGACCTTTCAAAACTATTTTCCCAGCTTGCGCTTGTTTTTTTCAGAGTTCCCAGTTGTCTTGAACGCACTGAAGTCTGAGATTTCAAGTGTTCCCAGTTGTTTTTAAAGCGACACATGAAACTCAGAAATGTCAGACTTGCTAACTGGTTGTAGTTATACACGTGCCGAGTTCAAGCAGTTAGCAAGTCTGAAATTTCTGTTTCCTAGTTCCAACTAGCAAGTGACCGCGCCATTATGCCAGGTTCAAAACAACAAGGAACTGGTGCCCCGTTCAAAACAACTGGGAACTCGGAAATTTCCGACTTCCGACTTTAGTGCATTCAAGACAACTGGGCACTCGGGGAAAAAACAAGCTCAGACTGGGAAAAATTGTTTTGAACAGTCATCCAACTCGGAATTCCGAGTCGGAAACTCCAACATCTTTAAATCGCTCTAACCAGGAGATCACTAACATCATGATTTGACCTCGTATTTTCCAGAGATCCCAATTGTCTTGAAAGCACCATAGTGTTGCTTCTGACAAGTCTCGCCAATGCTCAGAGCCTTTATCCCAATAGCTGTAATGGGGACAACAACAAAAAGGAGGAAGCCGAAAAGTGAGACGCATATATGTCGATGCTCTCCTACCATGTTTCTGACTCTCCTACCTCTTGAAAACATAAAGTCTTGTGAAAACATTACTAGAATATTGCTAGCTGTCTCTCCGGCCAGCCTGCCAGTGTCTGCATCCAACTCCTTTTAGAGGGGCGGAGGTTTCATCTGATGTCAGTGTCCTCCTTGAGGAGGAGCCTCTTTTTAAGGCCTGTGCTATCTGGGGTCCTTGGGATGTCCCTACCCCCATTGAAGTTGAAATGTAAAATGGTTAAGGTAAGGGTTAGGGTTACATAAGGGTTATGTTTAAAGTTAGGGTTAGGGTAGGGATTAAGGTTAGGGTTTAGGGTAGGGACGTCCCAAGGAGCCCGGATAGCACTGACCTTCTTTTTAAGGTGTCTTGAAGAAGCTAGAATTTGAGACTACATATACAGTAGTACAGTGTATTTTAGTTTTGTACAATGATATCTGTCAACATTAGTCAGTAATGTAATATACAAAAAAGCAATGCATTGTATGAATATTTCTGAAATGTGGTAGATTGTAAATTGCCATTTTTGTCTCAATATTACCATAGTCTCAATTTCCCAAACATATTCCTCATACAGTATAGGCTATTGCTACCACATTACATGGGATAGCCCTGACAGACACCATGCATTTAGGCAAGATTTTTCCCATAATGGTCAATATTTCAGATGGAGAATGGTACTGAATTGAGACAGACTGGCTTTTTTAGTGTTGCCTGAGAGGGCAGTGTTGGATAAACACTTCATGACATTTTAATAGAGCTAGGTTTAATTGAAACATTTTACATTACACCAAGTATTTAATTTCACTCATGATTAAAGCTTTGTATTATCTTTTGCATTATGGCTAAAATATGTTGAGATTTCTGGAGTTTGTAATTGTGTGCTGTGGTAGAGTGTGTTATAAGGGTGTAATATGTGTCACAGTTTGCTTTCGGTATGAAGGTCCATTTAGTAGACACTTGATATTTATATTTCTTATATTTCTTATAACCAAGGGTGAAATTGGTTTGTTCAAGGTGGTGAGACTACTGCACATAAAATTAACTGACATTATAGGGTCATTTCAACTAAGAGTTTATAGCTACTTGTCTGCAACTGTAGGCTTTAAGGGTAGGCCTAGAAGTGGTGGAATGCTGTGGTGTAACTCCAGCCCAATTTGACCCCAGTTTATAGTGACCGGAAAACCTGATGCTGAACATGAACCAGCAGATTATAGCCTATTTATATGGTAGGCAGGTGCATATTGACATAACCAACTCTTCTAACCTCTATTACAGATAGTGAAGCCTTCATTACAAAGTAGTAGGCTACAGAGGAAAGGGCTGAGAACTGCTGAGAAAAGATGCAAGTGGAGAGTAGAGAGAAAAAGAGTAAAGTCCCCAGAGCAGGTTAATAGCACTCTTGTATCGCTGTTTATTTTTGTTGCTAATTCTCTCTTTATTGATCACTGTGGCTGTGAAATCCCTGTGACAACAATGAAGAATAGCATCAAAGCCTGGGTCGTACCACCACACCACCTGGGAACCTTCTCTCCGCTCGCTGTGGGGCGTATCCATCACTTTTATTTTATTTCTTCTTCTCTCGTTCTCTCGTTTTTCTTCTTTCGGCGATGGATCAAAACAAAAAAAGTGCTGTAAACATGTTTGTCGCTGTGGAGCACCAGAAGCGTCAGGAGCCGTTGGTCTTGGAGGTCTGACAGGACTACTGGCCAAGCTTGGAATGATAGGGTGGAAGAGGGATAAGAGGAGGAAGAGAGGGGAGAAGACGAAGAGGAGGAGGGGTGAAAGAGGGAGGAGGCTGTGGAAGCTCTCACTGCTGGATGCGGCGCAGAGACTGGACCTGGAAGGTCTGAGCATGGGAGCCCCACTCCCTGTAGTGTTTGTACTCTCCACCATGACGGTCACACTCCATGATGTACTGGTAGCCACGGTAACCGGGGAACTGGTAGCACACCCAGCTAAAGGGGGAGAGGGAGAGAGAGGAAGAGGGTGAAGTGATAAAATACCCAGAAACAAGCCCGAGCCCTTACCCTGTAGAGCAGGGATGTGCAAGTGGCGGCCACTTTCTTAGGCCCGCGGATCAAGTAAAAAAAAAAAAAGACCAAATACTGAAGGCGCAATTTCGAAATTTGGTTGTGCATCAACAGTTTTTCTCTTGTTATGTCAGTCACTAACAGTCACTCAATTAGCCCATGTCAGCAACATTTTTTTAGATTGGTAAGTTATTCTAGCGGCCAGCTATTTAAACTTGTAGTAATCATGGTCGAATTACCGACCGGTGGTCCCCCGTTAATCATCAGATATCATATTAAAAACGGCACATTTTTCTCTCCGCCCCATGGCAAATGAGTAGAATTGCACGAAATTTGTTAGAAAAGAACTACATCTTCTCTCCGCGCCATGGCATGCGTAGTATTGCAGCAAACTTACTTTAATACTGTAACATTTTCTCTACGTCCCATGGCAAAATGTGTGGAATTGCAGGAAATTAACTCAAAAACGTTTATCTTCGCTGTCAAGAGGTGGGGGGGGGGGGGGGAATTCTGCTTACGGCCCCAAAAGGTTAGGGCCGGCTCTGACTACAAGTGTGGGTATGGATGTGGGTATGCAGACCCCCCAGCCACTGTGGTCCCTCAGGATGATGTTCCGATTTGTTTGTGGCCCCCACCCCCATCAAAGTTGTCCATCCCTGCTCTAGAGTCTAGACACTTGTAGATCAGAAAGAGTTGGCCTCTACAGTACATGTTAGTCCTCTGTATAATATCCAGGGACACCACATAATAGCTATTTCTTTCAAATTTTTCACCATAGTGTCCCTTTAACAACAAAAAATATATCAAAAAATATATATATCAAAATATATATATATATATATATATATATATATAAAAAACAAGTTTGGCAAAGAGAGGTCAGTAAGGTCACAGACACTCATTTAGATAATTCTTCATTTCAGTCCTGAACTAGTTTTTTGCTTAGTTCTATTATGATCTATGACAGGAAGGATTATCCTCTCACAGTTTATCTAGTTATTAACATTGATTTTAATTGTATAGTTATTACTGCACATTACACCTTTTTAGCAGTTTGTCCAAGTTTTGCGACCACTAGACGCAATTGATTCCTCTATTTCTGATTGTTATGAGCGTAGTCTTCTGTAGTGTGAAAAAGGAAGCCAGGGATTCTTCTCCTTTTACTTACGCTCCACTCTGGACCTGCATGGATCCGATCTCGTTGTTGCCCCAGCCCATGGCCTGCAGGGAGGGGTAGTCATCGTTCATCTCCCATTGCTTGCCAATGAAGTTCTCCCTTTCAAACACCACAATCTTGGACTCCTTATGGTTCTGTGCAGTTCAGAGAGAGGAGTGGGCAATTTCAGGTTACATTCAACCTGTTTCACTCAGAACTATTTACGAAAGACATACTGTGTAGAATTATGACGGAAAGTAGGAAATCTTTATTTTCTGTGTTTTATTCACTTTGTAAATTAGTGCTTTCAATAACGCTGGTAGAGGCTATCAAGGATCTGTTAAATGTAATAATGTCAGTGTCAGTAACAGTAAGTAGAGCCAGAGACATGGACTGAGGCCAGAACCCGGGCTTCTGTTCCAATATCGGGCCTCTGTTTCAATATCTTTACTAACATACTATGTGAATGAATCAATGTATTGGGCATTCTAAGTGGAATGCTAGAATGGATATTGGAACATAGCCCACAGAGGAGAGTGTCTGTCTGGCCTGGTCTGGCAGGAACAGGAAGTAGGCTTGGCTAGTACACTCACGGCAGAGCAGACTGGGCGGAAGGACATCAACCTCTCGATGTGGTAGGCATTGCTGCCGCTCCAGGACTCCCAGCGAGGGTACTCTCCACGCTCCAACACAAACTGTTGCCCAGAGAAGCTGGAGTGCTCGTACCCTACCCAGCTACACATACAGAGAGAGAGAGAGAGACAGAGAGAGAGAGACATGGAAAGTCAGACAGATACAAAGAGTGACAGAGAGACAAACAGTACATGCAGACAGATACATTTTAGTCATTTAGCAGACACTGTTATCCAGAGTGACTTACAGTTAGTGAGTGCATAATTTTTTTTTTTCATACTGGCCCCCTGAGGGAATCGAACCCACAATCCTGGTGTTGCAAACGCCATGCTCTACCAACTGAGCTACACGGGACCTGATAAACAGTACATGTGGATAGATACAAGGGTGGGGCAAAAACTTTGTCATGTTTTTTATTAAATTGTCTATGTCTATGATACATTATGCGTCTATCAGTATCCCTTAGAAACTGTTGCCTGTGCAATGGTCCCCTGGCCCCTGAAGGATTATGTGTAACCTGTCAGGGAGATAAATATCCTACAGTATGTAGATATGTTTGTGTTTTGGGGGTCTGGTTGACTTACGCTCCACACTCAACCTTCAGGGAGCGGATGTTGTCCACGCCACACTCCATGATGTTCTGGCAGGAAGCAGTGAACTCCATACGCTTTCCCTGGAAGTTCTCCTGGTCGTAGACTGTGATCTAGGACAGAGGATATAGTGCATATTTGCAATCTGCCCGACCCACGATTGCTGTTTTTTCAAAACTGTTTTTAACACAACCAGTGTCTCTGCTAGAGAACGCACTGCCGTGTGCAAAGATTTCCTTTCTCTTCTTACAGTTGAAGTCGGAAGTTTACATACACTTAGGTTGGAGTCATTAAAACTCGTTTTTCAACCACTCCACAAATTTCTTGTTAACAAACTATAGTTTTGGCAAGTCGGTTAGGACATCTACTTTGTGTATGACACAAGTAATTTTTCCAACAATTGTTTACAGAAAGATTATTTCACTTATAATTCACTGTATCACAATTCCAGTGGGTCAGAAGTTTACATACACTAAGTTGACTGTGCCTTTAAACAGCTTGGAAAATTCCAGGAAATGATGTCATGTCTTTAGAAGCTTCTGATAGGCTAATTGACATCATTTGAGTCAATTGGAGGTGTACCTGTGGATGTATTTCAAGGCCTACCATCAAACTCAGTGCCTATTTGCTTGACATCATGGGAAAATCAAAAGAAATCAGCCAAGACCTCAGAAAGAATTGTAGACCTCCACAAGTCTGGTTCATCCTTGGGAGCAATTTCCAAACGCCTGAAGGTACCACTTTCATCTGTACAATAGTACGCAAGTGTAAACACCATGGGACCACGCAGCAGTCATACCGCTCAGGAAGGAGACGCGTTCTGTCTCCTGGAGATGAACGTACTTTGGTGCGAAAAGTGCAAATCAATCCCAGAACAACAGCAAAGGACCTTGTGAAGACGCTGGAGGAAACAGGTACAAAATATCTATATCCACAGTAAAACGAGTCCTATATCGACATAACCTGAAAGGCCGCTCAGCATGGAAGAAGCCACTGCTCCAAAACCACCATAAAAAAGCCAGACTACGGTTTGCAACTGCACATGGGGACAAAGATCGTACTTTTTGGAGAAATGTCCTCTGGTCTGATGAAACAAAAATAGAACTGTTTGGCCATAATGACCATCGTTATGTTTGTAGGAAAAAGGGGAAGGCTTGCAAGCCGAAGAACTCCATCCCAACCGTGAAGCACGTGGTGGCAGCATCATGTTGTGGGGGTGCTTTGCTGCAGGAGGGACTGGTGTACTTGACAAAATAGATGGCATCATGAGGAAGGAAAATTATGTGGATATATTGAAGCAACATCTCAAGACATCAGTCAGGAAGTTAAAGCTTGGTCGCAAATGGGTCTTCCAAATGGACAATGACCCAAGCATACTTCCAAAGTTGTGGCAAAATGGCTTAAGGACAACAAAGTCAAGGTATTGGAGTGGCCATCACAAAGCCCTGACCTCAATCCTATAGAAAATGTGTGGGCAGAACTGAAAAAGCGTGTGTGAGCAAGGAGGCCTACAAACCTGACTCAGTTACACCAGCTCTGTCAGGAGGAATGGGCCAAAATTCACCCAACTTATTGTGGGAAGCTTGTGGAAGGCTACCCAAAGCGTTTTACCCAAGTTAAACAATTTAAAGGCAATGCTAATAAATACTAATTGAGTGTATGTAAACTTCTGACCCACTGGGAATGTGATGAAATAAATAAAAGCTGAAATAAATCATTCTCTCTACTATTATTCAGACATTTCACATTCTTAAAATAAAGTGGTGATCCTAACTGACCTAAGACAGGGAATTCTTACTAGGATTAAATGTCAGGAATTGTGAAAAACTGAGTTTAAATGTATTTGGCTAAGGTGTATGTAAACTTCCGACTTCAACTGTACGTCTTTTTATGAAAAATAATGGGAAAGGTTCTGGAGAGTTGTTCAATAGTTGTGGAAACGTGGTAGACATAACATTCACTCACCTTCCATGGTCCCATTGGGTTAGGAGTAGTCAGCGCCATGTTTGATATCGCAGTAATAATTGACCTGCAGTGCAGAAAGCACACAGTCACGTAGTCACATTTCTGTTTGGTCTTACAGGGAGACCAGGGCAGACATGACTAAACCACCATGGACCTCATCTCCAGTCAGCTCTAGTTCTTGCATCAGTCTGTGCCCAGCAGCTAATGCCCAAATATATTCTTGTCATGGTTATGCTAATGTGGCAGGGACTAGAGACTCTATGCTAGAGCCCCAGGACAAACCCAAACAAAGCACGTCCCTGTGCTAATTCGTCCTGATCTAACATTGGTATGTACTACCACAAACAAAGTAGGACAATGCAAAGCATCCATCCACATTTCCACAATGATATGTGATAATGATGTTGTGCTTTATTAGTTGTTATAAATTCTACATGGTGAACCATTGTATCATGTGCCTGTAAGTCATGCCATTGTTACACTCTGAGTGTGTAACGTAAACTATGCTGTTGATGGCGTCACAGCATACATACAGTATCATTCTAGTGTGATGCATGATGTTGACTGTGATGACGATTGGTGTGTCCATTTAGAGTATGTGTGTGTGTGTCCTATGTGTTTGTGTGCGTATGACCCTTTCTATACATTCCCGAGGCTCAGCAGAAAACAGCAAAGGAAAAAAACAGGACAATGGACAATGTAAATGGACAACAATGCTGGCAAAAGGCTATAGGCCAAACGGTCTAAAGATGGAGGGCTTACCTGACCTACCCCAAAGAATAGCTGTGTAGCGCTCACGGGGGGCTCCACAAAACGATGTCCTGACCCCTGAGTAAACGGGCCTATTTATACACAGTGGTGGTGAATGGAGCCCAGGCCTGCGGGACAGGGTAGGAGTCAGCACATTGCTGGGCCCTCCATTGTTCCAGACTGAGCCACAGGGCTGCCACGGTGTGCTGGTGTACTGGTCTGGACGCAGGGCACCGTGCCCAGTGCCGATTAACACAAGCCCCTGGACAAGCGTCCGGACCCTGTGATTATACAGACATAGACTACACCCAGTCCTGGCCCTGCCCTGGTCATAGCCCAGCCCCTAACCCACGACATGCTTTCAGTAGTTAATGTATATGCTGTTGAGGAAAAAGATAGGGACAAACATCAGAAGGAAGATGTACCAAAAATCGAACCATTTAAAAATGTGTTTTTTAGATGACAATTGGTCAATATTGAACATACTGTTATTGTAATGCTGTGAACGTAACCATCAGATGAAATACATACATCAATAAAACACGTTTTTCTCAGCTATACCATATCAGATGTTCTGAGGCACCTATGACTTACACGTACACTCTCATGATGAGTGATATTAAGTTAGCTAATTAAAGAAAACCAGTGTGCTCAATAAACTAAGAAGATCTCCAGTGAACCAATAATTTCATACTCACTAACAGCTCTCTTCAGAAGCAATTCCCAAATGGAAAAATACTATAGTATACTATGGTATACAGTGGGGGAAAAAAGTATTTAGTCAGCCACCAATTGTGCAAGTTCTCCCACTTAAAAAGATGAGAGAGGCCTGTAATTTTCATCATAGGTACACGTCAACTATGACAGACAAAATGAGATTTTTTTTCTCCAGAAAATCACATTGTAGGATTTTTAATGAATTTATTTGCAAATTATGGTGGAAAACAAGTATTTGGTCAATAACAAAAGTTACTCAATACTTTGTTATATACCCTTTGTTGGCAATGACACAGGTCAAACGTTTTCTGTAAGTCTTCACAAGGTTTTCACACACTGTTGCTGGTATTTTGGCCCATTCCTCCATGCAGATCTCCTCTAGAGCAGTGATGTTTTGGGGCTGTCGCTGGGCAACACAGACTTTCAACTCCCTCCAAAGATTTTCTATGGGGTTGAGATCTGGAGACTGGCTAGGCCACTCCAGGACCTTGAAATGCTTCTTACGAAGCCACTCCTTCATTTTCCGGGCGGTGTGTTTGGGATCATTGTCATGCTGAAAGACCCAGCCACGTTTCATCTTCAATGCCCTTGCTGATGGAAGGAGGTTTTCACTCAAAATCTCACGATACATGGCCCCATTCATTCTTTCCTTTACACGGATCAGTCGTCCTGGTCCCTTTGCAGAAAAATAGCCCCAAAGCATGATGTTTCCACCCCCATGCTTCACAGTAGGTATGGTGTTCTTTGGGTGCAACTCAGCATTCTTTGTCCTCCAAACACGACGAGTTGAGTTTTTACTAAAAAGTTCTATTTTGGTTTCATCTGACCATATGACATTCTCCCAATCCTCTTCTGGATCATCCAAATGCACTCTAGCAAACTTCAGACGGGCCTGGACATGTACTGGCTTAAGCAGGGGGACACGTCTGGCACTGCAGGATTTGAGTCCCTGGTGGCGTAGTGTGTTACTGATGGTAGGCTTTGTTACTTTGGTCCCAGCTCTCTGCAGGTCATTCACTAGGTCCCCCCCGTGTGGTTCTGGGATTTTTGCTCACCGTTCTTGTGATCATTTTGACCCCACGGGGTGAGATCTTGCGTGGAGCCCCAGATCGAGGGAGATTATCAGTGGTCTTGTATGTCTTCCATTTCCTAATAATTGCTCCCACAGTTGATTTCTTCAAACCAAGCTGCTTACCTATTGCAGATTCAGTCTTCCCAGCCTGGTGCAGGTCTACAATTTTGTTTCTGGTGTCCTTTGACAGCTCTTTGGTCTTGGCCATAGTGGAGTTTGGAGTGTGACTGTTTGAGGTTGTGGACAGGTGTCTTTTATACTGATAACAAGTTCAAACAGGTGCCATTAATACAGGTAACGAGTGGAGGACAGAGGAGCCTCTTAAAGAAGAAGTTACAGGTCTGTGAGAGCCAGAAATCTTGCTTGTTTGTAGGTGACCAAATACTTATTTTCCACCATAATTTGCAAATAAATTCATTAAAAATCCTACAATGTGATTTTCTGGAAAAAAAAAGCTCAATTTGTCTGTCATAGTTGACGTGTACCTATGATGAAAATTACAGGCCTCTCTCATCTTTTTAAGTGGGAGAACTTGCACAATTGGTGGCTGACTAAATACTTTTTTCCCCCACTGTACATACTATAGTATTCACTTTAGTGTTTTTGCAGACTTTACTGTGGTATTTTTTTTACCAGGTAAGTTGACTGAGAACACATTCTCATTTACAGCAACAACCTGGGGAATAGTTACAGGGGAGAGGAGGGGGGATGAATGAGCCAATTGGAAGCTGGGGATGATTAGGTGGCCATGATGGTATGTGGGCCAGATTGGGAATTTAGCCAGGACACCAGGGTTAACACCCCTACTCTTACAATAAGTGCCATGGGATCTTTAGTGACCACAGAGAGTCAGGACACCCATTTAACATCCCTCCCGAAAAAAAGCACCATACACAGGGCAATGTCCCCAATCACTGCCCTGGGGCATTGAAATATTTTTTTTATTTTTATTTTTTTGACCAGAAGAAAGAGTGTCTCCTACTGGCCCTCCAACATCACTTCCAGCAGCATCTGGTCACCCATCCAGGACCAATCCTGCTTAGCTTGAGAAGCAAGCCAGAAGTGGGACGTAGGTTGGTATGCTGCTGGCTCCATTCACTGTAGTGTTTTTACTAACAAAACAGTACAGTGAATACTGTAGTATTTACTGTAGTATACTGTTACAGTTAACTATAGTATAAATACTGTAGTAAAAAAAAACTGTAGTATATTTAGTGTTTTTGCAGATTGTAGTATACTGTAGTATTTACTGTAGTGTTTTTGCTGACTGTTGTATACTGTGGTATTTACTGTAGTGTTTTTGCAGACATTACTGTAGTATTTACTGTAGTGTTTTTGTTTTATTATCTTTGACATGGAAGTGCAGGCTTTCTCCTTGATGACACCTCCTGGAGAAATACTAAAGAGAACATTTTCCTTAAAGGCCCCTTTGCTATGAAGCCCCTAAATAAGATCTGGTGCAACCAATTACCGTCAGAAGTCCCATAATTAGTTAAATAAAGTTCAACTGTGTGCAATCTAAGTGTCACATGATCTGTCACATGATATCAGTATATTTACACCTGTTCTGAAAGGCCCCAGAGTCTGCCACACCACTAAGCAAGGGGCACTATGACAACCAAGGAGCTCTCCAAACAGGTCAGGGACAAAGTTGTGGAGAAGTACAGATCAGTGTTGGGTTTTTAAAAAATATTTGAAACTTTGAACATCCCACGGAGCACCATTAAATCCATTATTAAAAAATTTAAAGAATTGCTGCAAAAGGTGGCTCTACAAAGTATTGACTTTGAGGGGGAGAATAGTTATGCACGCTTAAGTTTTCTGTTTTTTTGTTTTATTTCTTGTTTGTTTCACACACAAAAAATATTTTGCATCTTCAAAGTGGTAGGCATGTTGTGTAAATCAAATGATACAAACCCCCCAAAAATCAATTTTAATTCCAGGTTGTAAGGCAACTAAATAGGAAAAATGCCAAGGGGGGTGAATACTTCGACCCCAATTTCATCCTTTCCCAACCCCTTCGAAATTAAAACAAAATGCATACAGGTGAGAAGTTGTGGGTGGGGGGCATTGTTCATAAATACCCCTAACCCTAACCTTAACCCTAACCCCTAGACTAGCTAACTTTGGCAGCTAGCTAATGTTAGCCACCGAGCTAGAATTCTTAACATATAATACGTTTTGCGAATTCGTAACATATTGTACGTTTCGCAAATTCGTAACATATCATCTGAATTGTAATTCGTAACATATCATATGAAATGGGTGATGGACATCCACAAATTAATACATACCATACGAAACATAACATATCATACTAAATAGAGTGTCTGGGATTTACGTACAGAATAATATGAAATGCTCTGAGACTAGGTTGCTTACCAAAACCATTGCCAAATAAGGTGTGCTGTCACCTGCTTTTATAGTAAGCCTTGAGGTGGTACTTCCCAGCATATCTAGAAGGGAGTGTATTTCATACCGAACCCCTCCCTTTTGATGACATCGAGGCACCATCACGATTTCAATGGTAGAGTTGAACCACATGGGCTTCGTCTCAATCCACCGCATCCGCATCTGCGGTGGAAGGTGGCCGAGCTACAGCGGTGTTGGTCAGACCATGAGACATCCCGAAAATCGTCTTCTCACGAAAACGTCTGTAGCGTCCTAACCGTTTGGGCTACAAACTAATATGACTGCATACAGTGAGGGAAAAAAGTATTTGATCCCCTGCTGATTTTGTACATTTTCCCACTGACAAAGACATGATCAGTCTATAATTTTAATGGTAGGTTTATTTGAACAGTGAAAGACAGAATAACAACAACAAAAATCCAGAAAAACGCATGTCAAAAATGTTATAAGTTGATTTGCATTTTAATGAGGGAAATAAGTATTTGACCCCTCTGCAAAACATGACTTAGCACTTGGTGGCAAAACCCTTGTTGGCAATTACAGAGGTCAGACGTTTCTTGTAGTTGGCCACCAGGTTTGCACACATCTCAGGAGGGATTTTGTCCCACTCCTCTTTGCAGATCTTCTCCAAGTCATTAAGGTTTCAAGGCTGACGTTTGGCAACTCGAACCATCAGCTCCCTCCACAGATTTTCTATGGGATTAAGGTCTGGAGACTGGCTAGGCCACTCCAGGACCTTAATGTGCTTCTTCTTGAGCCACTCCTTTGTTGCCTTGGCCGTGTGTTTTGGGTCATTATCATGCTGGAATACCCATCCACGACCCATTTTCAATGCCCTGGCTGAGGGAAGGAGGTTCTCACCCAAGATTTGATGGTACATGGCCCCGTCCATCGTCCCTTTGATGCGGTGAAGTTGTCCTGTCCCCTTAGCAGAAAAACACCGCCAAAGCATAATGTTTCCACCTCCATGTTTGACGGTGGGGATGGTGTTCTTGGGGTCATAGGCAGCATTCCTCCTCCTCCAAACCCGGCGAGTTGAGTTGATGCCAAAGAGTTTGATTTTGGTCTCACCTGAGCACAACACTTTCACCCAGTTCTCCTCTGAATCATTCAGATGTTCATTGGCAAACTTCAGACGGCCCTGTATATGTGCTTTCTTGAGCAGGGGGACATTGCGGGCGCTGCAGGATTTCAGTCCTTCACGGCGTAGTGTGTTACCAATTGTTTTCTTGTTGACTATGGTCCCAGCTGCCTTGAGATCATTGACAAGATCCTCCTGTGTAGTTCTGGGCTGATTCCTCACCGTTCTCATGATCATTGCAACTCCACGAGGTGAGATCTTGCATGGAGCCCCAGGCCAAGGGAGATTGACAGTTATTTTGTGTTTCTTCCATTTGCGAATAATCGCACCATCTGTTGTCACCTTCTCACCAAGCTGCTTGGCGATGGTCTTGTAGCCCATTCCAGCCTTGTGTAGGTCTACAATCTTGTCCCTGACATCCTTGGAGAGCTCTTTGGTCTTGGCCATGGTGGAGAGTTTGGAATCTGATTGATTGATTGCTTCTGTGGACGGGTTTCTTTTATACAGGTAACAAGCTGAGATTAGGAGCACTCCCTTTAAGAGTGTGCTCCTAATCTCAGCTCGTCACCTGTATAAAAGACACCTGGGAGCCAGAAATCTTTCTGATTGAGAGGGGGTCAAATACTTATTTCCCTCATTAAAATGCAAATCAATTTATAACATTTTTGACATGCGTTTTTCTGGATTTTTTGTTGTTGTTATTCTGTCTCTCACTGTTCAAATAAACCTACCATTAAAATTATTGACTGATCATTTCTTTGTCAGTGGGCAAACGTACAAAATCAGCAGGGGATCAAATACTTTTTTCCCTCACTGTAAGTGTCACTGGACTCGTCTGAAGGTAACCCATACACATGAATGGAAGTATGGAGGTAGTTTTGTGGCAACAAAAATAAGGGGTTAAATATGTAAAAAATTGCCATTTATGAATGTGTTATTCAATGCATTTCTATGGGCTATAGTAGTAAATATTTGTTTTGATACCTAAAGGGGTCCTACAATTCAAAATCAAATAGCTAAATGATCCATGGTATGACCATCTTAAAACAATTCCATATGTTAGGTTAGTAGGACCCCCCCACCACCACTTTTAGAGTATATTAAGCATCATTATCAATAAGCACTATTTTTATCGTAATCCACTTGACCACTTATCTTTGATATGATGTACTGTAGCTATTATATAATGTGACACCTGTACCAAACATGCTTTCTTCACCGTACTGTACCTGATCATTTCCACTTAGGCCAGGCAAGAATAGCTATTTCATGCCTCCAGCAGACCGGTTCTGCCTGTTTCACTGTAAACCATTCTAGGATTGTAAAATGACATGGGTGCCAAGTCCTTTTGCTGTGTTCCTCTCACTGTACTAGATTTTAGCAGTCTGGCAGACACTTCTGTCCCGTTGAGGTGTCCCACGCTATAGCAGAAAACAAAACCTAGCAAACACCTAACTGTGTGTAGTTTGTGTGTTTGTGTTTGTATGTGTGTGTGTGTGCATGCATGCGTGCCTGCCTCCCTGCGTGCCGGTTCCAACTGAACAGTAGCCTGCCCGCCCGTTCGCACTACACACAATAGAAGGTCAGCACATTGCTTGCTCTGAGAGAGAGAGAGAGAGAGAGAGAGAGAGAGAGAGAGAGAGAGAGAGAGAGAGAGAGAGAGAGAGAGAGAGAGAGAGAGAGAGAGAGAAAGGGAGGGTAGTTGGGTACATTCTGCTGATGGTGGTGGCTGTGTGTCCAGGACCCCACAGTAGCGCAGGACAACAAAGCAAGCAGCCGACTCAGCACGGCTCAGTGGAGATCAGCATACATGACCCCTGACCCCGCCCTCCGCCACTAAAGAGAACTCCGCTCATCCAATGACGAGGTGGGATCCTGGCCCAATAGGCGGCGTGGGGATGTAAATGTATATATATCTCTATTCCGGGGGCCTGATTCCAACTCTAAGGCTTATCCGTCTGGACGTCCGTTCCTCCCTTGTACCTGACAACCAGCCGCTTGGTGAGATTCACGCTCAGGGAAGGGGGTTGTGAGCGAGAGCGATGGGGGGAAAAGGTGGGGTCTCTTCGTCCCATGACCTAAATCAAGGACCTTCAAAAGGCTTTTGACTTCAATTAACTCTGGGATAATGTTTGGCATTACTTTGACGTTCTGTCTGTTCTGTGGTTCATTTAATGGGGAAATGGCAGTGAGAGAGATGCGAGGCCATTGTTTGATTGTGATCTCCTCTCGGCTCAGTAATACTACATGACAGGCCTGCCTGTATCTGGCAGATGAAAGCGTGCTCAGTGTCACAGAATTGAGTAATTGTAAGAAAAATATGCTTGAACATGTTGTTTAAAAAGGATCTTTGGAGATTAAATTTTTTCACAGAGGAATTGCTATTTACGGAATAGATAGAATATTTAGTGGGGTTAAATTGTGCAGGCTCAATTGGTAGAGCATGGCGCTTGTAACGCCAGGGTAGTGGGTTCGATCCCCGGGACCACCCATACATAAAAATGTATGCACACATGACTGTAAGTCGCTTTGGATAAAAGCGTCTGCTAAATGGCATATTATTATTATTATTATTATTATTATTATTATTATATTATTAAGTCTCTCTTAGAACAGGCATAAACATCAAAAGGTGTGCTTTGGGGTAGAGTTAATGAGAGACAAAAACCAGTCTAGATTAAGTACTTGAGTGACTAGATAAAAGTAGATGATGTTCTCATTAACATTTTGGGTGGATAAGTGGGTTTTAATATGGATATTTGTCCAAAAGACGAAGATTGAAATCTGTTTATGCTCACTGAGTTTAACATGGATTACCATTGGTCTTTTTTTCTCTTTTGTATTTGAACGACGGTGGGAAACATTCTTCTTTGCAATCTCTCATTGATATCTATTCAGCTGTACAGACATATGCCAGGGGCCTGTTGAATAGATACACAGCTGTGGCTTGGGTTGCAGGTAGCCTAGCGGTTAAGGGCGTTGGGCCATTAACTGAAAGGTTGCTGGTTCGAATTCCTGAGATGTTCCCTTGAGGAAAGCACTTAAACCTAATTGCTTCTGTAAGTCGCTCTGGATAAGAGTGTCTGCTAAATGACAAAAATTAGTGTCACAATATGGAGGACAAATTAAGTTGTTTTTCCAAGAGGCTTGGCTTTAACCTCTCTCCCTCTTTATTTCTCTCACTCTCTTCCTGTTCGGTCACAGATTCGACCATGTCTCACACCGGAGCCCAGGGCAGCATTGGGAGCCACCCAGCCATGGGGCTGCGTGCCCATAAAGTAGGTCTTTGCAGTTTCTTTACAAACTACTCTAATAATGCCATCTCTAGCGAAGATACAGCATTTCCAGTTGTTTTAAAGGCCCAAGACAGGCATCTTGATCAATGATATCCATATCAAATCATTAACATAATTATATTATAGCTTATTACAGTAAATAACCAGACTGTGATCTTGTCTATCTTTTCAGATTTACCTGTTTGAGTTTGAGAACTTCCAGGGCCGTATGATGGAGTGCACCACTGAGTGCCGTAACCTGTGTGAGAAGGGCTTCGAGAAGATCGGCTCCATCAGGGTGGAGTGTGGACCGTACGTCATATCTTACTTCATCTGTTTACATATATACAAAGTATGTGGACACCCCTTCAAATTAGTGGATTTGGCTATTTCAGCCACACCTGCTGCTGACAGGTGTATAAAATCGAGCACACAGCCATGCAATCTCCATAGACAAACATTGGCAGTAGAATGGCCTTACTGTAGAGCTCAGTGACTTTCAATGTGGCACTGTTATAGGATGCCACCTTTCCAACAAGTCAGTTCGTCAAATTTCTGCCTTTCTAGAGCTGCCCCGGTCAACTGTAAGTGCTGTTATTGAGAAGTGGAAACGTCTAGGAGCAACAACGGCTCAGCCGCGAAGTGGTAGGCCACACATGCTCACAGAACGGGACCACCAAGTGCTGAAGCACGTAGCATATAAAAATTGTCTGTCCTCGGTTGCAACACTCACTACGAGTTCCAAACTGCCTCTGGAAGCAACATCAGCACAATAACTTTTAGTCGGGAGCTTCATGAAATGTGTTTCCATGGCCGAGCAGCCGCACACAAGCCTAAGATCACCATGCGCAATGCCAAGTGTCGGCTGGAGTGGTGTAAAGCTCGCTGCCATTGGACTCTGGAGCAGTGGAAACACATTCTCTGGAGTGATGAATCACTCTTCACCATCTGGCAGTCCAACGGACAAATCTGGGTTTGGCGGATGCCAAGAGAACGCTACCTGACCGAATGCATAGTGCCAACTGTAAATTTTGGTGGAGGAGGAATAATTGTCTGGGGCTGTTTTTCATGGTTCGGGCTAGGCCCCTTAGTTCCAGTGAAGGGAAATCTTAACGCTACAGCATACAATGACATTCTAGACGATTCTGTGCTTCCAACTTTGTGGCAACAGTTTGGGGAAGGCCCTTTCCTGTTTCAGTATGACAATCAGTGCCCGACCTCACTAATGCTCTTGTGGCTGAATGGAAGCAAGTCCCCGCAGCATTGTTCCAACCTCTAGTGGAAAGCCTTCCCAGAAGAGTGGAGGCTGTTATAGCAGCAAAGGGGGGACCAACTCCATATTAATGCCCATTTTGGAATGAGATGTTCAGTGAGCAGGTGTCCACATACATTTGGTCAAGTAGTGTATTATTTGAGCCATTAGAGTAAAGTTGTCAGCTGGAGCGTGTCCAGAAGAAAGCCTGCAGAATAACTCTTAGCGGGTCGTACACCAGCTACCGGGAAGTCCTCTAAACCCTTGGAGTCATGTCCTTGGACAGAAGACGGGAGCAGATCTGCCTGACATTTGCCGAACTCCCAATTTGCAGACCGGCTCCCTCCTACCAGACAGCAGATTACTGGACTGGCAACGGCTCCATCCAACCAGACAGCAGATTACTGGACTGGCAACCCGCAACAGCCACAAACTGAACACTCCCATGACACGCACAGGCCGATATCAGAACTCTCCCATTCCATACTTCACTAAACTGATCAATGCGCACACCATATAGCCCAGTGGCCTTAGAAATGCCTTCCTAAGAACTCTAAAGATGCCTTTTTTAAAGCTGCCACCCCAAACCTTGTCGTAGTATTGTTGTTTTGTATATATTGCATATTTTAACATTTTATTATATTAAGTGTTTTGCTAGTTTAGGATTTTACTACTTGATAATTATATATGATTGATGTTATGATTGTAAATTGGTTTACAATTCAGTCTATGACTGCGAGAAACCAATAAACCTACTACTACTGCTATTAAAGTTATCTTAGTCCAATAAGACACTTGAAACATAGTTAATTTACAACATGCAATCTCCAATGATACATGACTGTTGCGATGAACGTGACATCTAACATGAAGCTTGCAATCACTTAGCTATCCCTAGCCTCAAGACTTCTGATCATGTTTATAAGAGAGTTGTGTTAATTGATTATAAGTGTGTTATAGTTGTGCTGTAACACTTTTATAATATACCTATACAGCTGGGTGGGCTATGAGCAGCAGAACCTGAGCGGAGAGATGTTCATGCTGGAGAAGGGAGAGTACCCCCGCTGGGATACCTGGAGCAACAGCTACAGGTGTGACCGCTTCATGTCCGTCAGGCCCGTTCGCATGGTGAGTCCGTCCATTCATTCATCCATCCATCCATCCATCCATCCATCCATCCATCCCTCCATTCATTAATTAATTCATTAATTCATTAATTCATTAATTCATTCATTCATTCGTTCATTCATTCATTCATTCATTCATTCATTCATTCATTCATCCATCCATCCATCCATCCATCCATCCATCCATCACTACATCAATAGTCTAGTCTAAGTGGCTTCCCCCTCTTCTGAGGGTCGTGGGTGAATAGGTGGGTAAACTCTATTGTGCCTACAGGACACCCAGGACCACAAGATCTGCCTGTTTGAGTGTAATAACTTTGAGGGCCGTAAGATGGAGGTGTGTGATGAGGATATCCCCAGTCTGTGGTCCTACGGCTTCCAGGACCGTGTGGCCAGCATCCAGGTCACTGGTGGAACGTGAGTTGGCACATTAACTTATCAATCAATCTACCCATCCATTTAATTTAAGACGTTATTAACTTCCATTTCTCTCTCTCATTCTCTCCGTCCGTCTTTCTGGGTGATAGTTGGGTTGGCTATCAGTACCCCGGTTACCGTGGCTACCAGTACGTGTTCGAATGTGGCATCTTCAAGCATTGGAACGAGTGGGGCGCCCACCATCCCCAGATCCAGTCCATCCGTAGAGTGAGGGACATGCAGACACATCGCAGAGGCTGCTTTGAGTGGACCGCCTAGAAGGGGCCAGGCAGGCGATGGGTCGTGGGCCAGCAAGACAGAGGGGAAGGGGCCTGGTTAGCCCTGGAGCTAACCATCCCAGAGTCTGGAGCTCCATCTTGGATCTCCATACAGCCAACATAAGCTAACAGCTAATAACATAACATCACTGGCTCCACCTCAATCACTTACTAGCAGTACATTCAGGGTGCGTGTACATTGACGCACAATCCCTGAATGAAGACAGTGCCACCTACTGGGAAAAGGTTGTTACTGCAGTTCGCCTGCAGCTGACTTCCACAATGCCTGAATATAACAATACTGGTGAAAGTGATAGCTGTACTCTCTGTTCCAAGACCTGATAGAATTATAGCATGAGAAGATTTATGATATTTATGATGGGGATTTTAATGGGGGAAAGGGAATTAGTTAGCAAAGATTTTAATAAGTTATATAACTTCATTAGTTTGTGTTCACTAGTTTGTTTCCATATCTGCAAACCCATTGATTTTATACATCTTACTTACTTGTTTCTTAGCTATATACCAAATGATGCCAAATAAGCCTGTTCATTACAATGCTCTACCCTCCTGCAATCTGTGAATGATTTTAGAGAGTAGAGAGATACTACACACTCCACTCACTCAGTCTCTAAGCTACCATGGACAGCCGCCAGCTTTCTGTGCTCTGTCCATGCCCTGCAATGAGCTCAATCATCCATGGGGAGGCACTGTTTCCCAATGTACTCTCCCCCATGGCCACCTTCTAGTCTAGGGATTGCACCTCAACCATAATTTCCCTAATGACATTCTACCTTCAAGGCTTCAAAGCTATGCCCATGACCCACTTAGTCTAGGGCAGTGAAGCTTTGCCCATGACCCACTTAGTCTAGGGCAGTGAAGCTATGCCCATGACCCACTTAGTCTAGGGCAGTGAAGCTATGCCCATGACACACTCAGTCTAGGGCAGTGAAGCTATCTGAAGGAGGAAATGAGCTAGGGGGTATGATTGAGAGACACGTTGCTGTAGGCTACCTGGTAGTGTTTTTCTAGACATGCCAACCTTTTGGGAGACCCCTCGCCCCTCTTAATGATGGGGTTGCAGACGAATCTTGTTATATACACTATATATTTCTCAGGGATGCTGCCATCTGGAAAGAAACTTTCCAATAAAAAAAAATGAAATAAAATGAATAAAGTTTCCTAACCTCAGTGCTGGAAATGCAGTCAGTGGCTCCTGTCAAGTTACTTGTTTGACTTTTTGTTCTCTTGTGTGTTTTATGATTATCTGTGGTGTTTGTCCCGCGTTTTCTTATAAATTATGCTGAACATTCAAACCATTATTCTACACAATATATATATCCTCACAAAGGCAATCCTGCATCAACATCAACACTGACAAATTCTAACCACGTCATGTTCATGCAATCCAACAAATAGTGCATGAGCCAGACACCCACATTTGGGGCGTCGGGCTCACTTGGGCCGATGATGTCTCATAGTGATTTTTTGGAAAGTCTATGTCCCTAGATTTGGAAAATGTGTGATAGCAGTGCAGCAGTGGCAGCTTTCTCTGTGTTATCACTCTATCTTTCATCCCTCCATCCCAATAATTGTTTTCCCATTGGGAATTTACCAAATGACAAACAATGTAAGTATACAACAAGTTCTTTCTCGCTTATACCCTTTAATCATATATCATTGGAAAGCTTATATTCACAGTTATCCATCAGACACATTTTCAGAAAGTTGAGGTCAACAGAACTTTGACGTCTGACCTCTAGGGTACATATCAGAATTAATGACCTGTATAAATGGCTTTCAAACTGAAACCCTGATACATATTAAACTTTGTTTGACAAGTGGTTCTGAAAGGCCATGAAATTACCTTTCAAATTATATACAGTGGGGAGAACAAGTATTTGATACACTGCCGATTTTGCAGGTTACTTACAAAGCATGTAGAGGTCTGTAATTTTTATCTAGGTACACTTCAACTCTGAGAGAGACGGAATCTAAAACAAAAATCCAGAAAATCACATTGTATGATTTTTAAGTCATTAATTTGCATTTTATTGCATGACATAAGTATTTGATACATCAGAAAAGCAGAACTTAATATTTGGTACAGAAACCTTTGTTTGCAATTACAGAGATCATAAGTTTCCTGTAGGTCTTGACCAGGTTTGCATACACTGCAGCAGGGATTTTGGCCCACTCCTCCATACAGACCTTCTCCAGATCCTTCAGGTTTCGCTGCTGTCGCTGGGCAATATGGACTTTCAGCTCCCTCCAAAGATTTTCTATTGGGTTCAGGTCTGGAGACTGGCTAGGCCACTCCAGGATCTTGAGATGCTTCTTACGGAGCCACTCCTTAGTTGCCCTGGCTGTGTGTTTCGGGTCGTTGTCATGCTGGAAGACCCAGCCACGACACATCTTCAATGCTCTTACTGAGGGAAGGAGGTTGTTGGCCAAGATCTCGCGATACATGGCCCCATCCATCCTCCCCTCCATACGGTGCAGTCGTCCTGTCCCCTTTGCAGAAAAGCATCCCCAAAGAATGATGTTTCCACCTCCGTGCTTCACGGTTGGGATGGTGTTCTTGGGGTTGTACTCATCCTTCTTCTTCCTCCAAACACGCTCTATTTTTGTCTCATCAGACCACATGCCCTTCTCCCATTCCTCCTCTGGATAATCCAGATGGTCATTGGCAAACTTCAGACGGGCCTAGACATGCGCTGGCTTGAGCAGGGGGACCTTGCGTGCGCTGCAGGATTTTAATCCATGACGGCGTAGTGTGTTACTAATGGTTTTCTTTGAGACTGTGGTCCCAGCTCTCTTCAGGTCGTTGACCAGGTCCTGCCGTGTAGTTCTGGGCTGATCCCTCACCATCCTCATGATCATTGATGCCCCACGAGGTGAGATCTTGCATGGAGCCCCAGACCGAGGTTGATTGACCGTCATCTTGAACTTCTTCCATTTTCTAATAATTGCGCCAACAGTTGTTGCCTTCTCACCAAGCTGCTTGCTTATTGTCCTGTAGCCCATCCCAGCCTTGTGTAGGTCTACAATTTTATCCCTGATGTCCTTACACAGCTCTCTGGTCTTGGCCATTGTGGAGAGGTTGGAGTCTGTTTGATTGAGTGTGTGGACAGGTGTCTTTTATACAGGTAACGAGTTCAAACAGGTGCAGTTAATACAGGTAATGAGTGGAGAACAGGAGGGCTTCTTAAAGAAAAACTAACAGGTCTGTGAGAGCCGGAATTCTTACTGGTTGGTAGGTGATCAAATACTTATGTCATGCAATAAAATGCAAATTAATTACTTAAAAATCATACAATGTGATTTTCTGGATTTTTGTTTTAGATTCCGTCTCTCACAGTTGAAGTGTACCTAGGATAAAAATGACAGACCTCTACATGCTTTGTAAGTAGGAAAACCTGCAAAATCGGCAGTGTATCAAATACTTGTTCTCCCCACTGTATAATATAACCAACTTTGAAAGCATCAGCTGCAACTATTGTTTAAAAATCGCCCATATTGTGCCATTGACATTAGAATGTTGGAAGCTTAGCAATAGAATTCCATGAAATGGGGCAGCTATGTTTTTGGATTGTAAAGGCACCAAATTGCACACATACAGCTAGAACAGGGTTTTAAAAAGATTTGTAGATATAGGGCCATCACAGAATTCACTCATTAACCCCACAGAAGCCTTTTTCCAATATGGCTACCAAACAACTAAATGGCATCTTATTGGACAATTTCGCATGACCATACCTGTATGAAATATAATTGTAGTATGCCCAGAAATATCTTTAAATGTTCATAGTGATGTAGAATACACAACCACATGAGCCAGATATATAAGGATGTTAAATTATTCAGAGAACTGTGGTAAGAACGTGCCCAAAAATCTATCTGAATCGCTGACTCCTGTAGATATGATCAATAATTGCAATAGTTCACCTTAAAACATGTAAAATGGATATGCACATGTGAATAGTAATGGATGTGAGCTGATTAAAAAGGGACAAATTGCTTGACATAACCTACACTGGCTAAGTGACCGTTTTTACAGTTTCTGGGAATCATGTAATGATCATGTCATAAATCGAAGGGAAGTTACAGTAACAATTAAATGAGTAATAGGCTGTTCAATGCGCGAGCGCATGTCCATGCGCTGTTTGGCCACAGCAGACATGCATGCAGGGTGAAAGCATTCAGCTTGTGTGAGAATATCTTGCTCTCAATTGAGTTTATATGTATTTGCATGAACGGCTTATGATGCTTTCGTATGAGCGCTGACGACCCACCGCATCCTTCCTTCGTCTCTCGTTCTGAATTCTGTAAACCCTCACCACCACCGCACGCGCGCTCCAAGAGCAAGGGCTATTCAGCTGCCGCACACAAGCAGTCACGGACCGACGAGTTTAAAGAACTAAGGATTTAAATTAAATACGGAGTGAGAGAGACGTTGAGCCTTGGGTGAGGGAGGGATAGAGACTGATTTGTATCTTCACCAGATCGGGAGGGGGAGGAGGCACGGAGAATGAGCTATTCTTGTACCAGCACAGAGGCTGTGTGTAATAGTCAGGACGCACCTAACGCCAGTGCGAGGAAAGCAGCTACTAATAATACGAACAGTGGCAGCGGAGGTCTCGAGAGCAGCAGCAGCAGCAGCACTAGTTCACGGCAGTCGCAACCCAAACCGCTCGTGGCCATGAAAGTGAAGAAAGGCTGCAACTCCACAGATGCTGGGGTCGCGGTTACATCGGAAGACGAGTTGCTAAGAAACCCCGTAATATCGCCTGAGGATGTACTTGGGTTACAGAAGATCACCGAAAGTAAGTAGGCTACTAATTGGTCTGAAGGGTAGCTTCATAGTTACCTGAACTGTTCTGGGCGCAGCGCACCTGCTGTTGCTCCGTTGCCTGGCATGAAGCATCGGGTCCACAGCGACAACGTTACATTGTTAACGTGCAGCCATCCATCCATTCATCCATCTGCATAGTAGCATGTTAGTTGCCCTCGTGCCAGGTTTGTCACTTCCAGTGCATTGGACAGCGACATAGAGTGACGTTAGGCTACAGTAGGATATTTGTGGGGGTGTAATTACAGGTTATATAGGCTAGTGGAATTATAGGCTAACGAAACGTATACTTGAATGTTTCTGTGTGGGCAGTCTGGGCATAATAGATAATGATGGAAGACAGGAGAGTAGGCCATCAGCCTCTAGCTCAGACAGGTTTAGTAGACCAGAACATAGGTATGCACACAACCGTGTGTGTTTGTGTCTGTGTGTGTGTGTGTGTGTGTGTGTTTGAGAGAGAGAGAGAGAGAGAGAGAGAGAGAGAGAGAGAGAGAGAGAGAGAGAGAGAGAGAGAGAGAGAGAGAGAGAGAGTGTGTGTGTAAATATTCCTTTTGAACCAGACAGGCAGGTATTAATGTTATTGTTCTTTCTAATGCCCCCTGTTGTCCATGTTAAAAAAATAAGATCTGACTTTTCCTAAATCCTTTCCCAACCTGAAGAATAGGTTTCCTCTTAGGTAACAGGTGATCAGTGCTCTGTGCCTCCCGACTGAGATTGAGACAGTCAGAACCTATTTAAAGATCTGCATTAGATTGTTACAACACACAACAACACAGCTACAGCCACTCAATGGATGCATCTAAAGTGGCACCCTATTACCTAAATAGTGCACAATTGTTTTACCAGAACCCTATGGGCCTTGGTCAAATTAGTGTACTATAAAGGGAATAGGGTGCCATTTGGGATGCAAAATATGTATTTAGGTGGTTGTTGTATAAACACATCCTCTCTCTGTTCCTTCTGCATTCACACTAGGTTACTGGTGACTGGTGAGCTGTAAAAGTAATTTAATGTGGTAATCTTTATGTCAACCACCTGAGTGCATCCTGGTTCTATCAAGTGTCTTTTCT